GTGCAGGAAATACTATATAACAGTGACCCACTGTGCATCCCCGCTCAGCTGCACATTCAGTGACATCACATTGGTAGCTTGAATTGGCACAGCCAGAGTATTTACACCATGGAAATTGACAGCTGTAAAAACCAGAACGTCGTCCCCCTGGAGAGCCGGTTGTTGGACATTTATCAGTGTACCACTGGTGTAGGGTCTCTATTACATGGTCTTCTTATATTAACTGTCTTGTGGTGAATCTTCTTTTAGAATCTTGTTGACAGAATTAAGTGGAATAGGCTAAGAAGTCTTTCCTGACACTGATCTTTTTGATCCTTCTCCATATGCTAATTAAGCAACCTGCAGCCCAGGAGGAGGCCTTTTAGTCACACACAACTCATCACCAGAGGATTGTTTGAAGGAACAAGGATATTATTCCACAAACCCTTATTTAGCAGCTAATATGTACAAAGCTGTGTGCTGAAGGCGAGGGAAGATATTAGATAAATAGCAATCTGTGCTCTCAAGGAACTCACTATAGAGGAGGTGACACAAAACCTATCAATAATACAATGTAATAAGTGTTCTGATGGAGAAACGGAAGTGTGGAGGAGAGAGAAGCTAATTCGGAAACCATCAAAGAGGTTTCAAAGCGTAAAGGAAAATAAAAATCTCAGGACCACCCCCCAGCTCCTTATGCAAGAGGGAAAGTCAAGCCTGGAGACAGAGTCATGCAACATCCCCTTCCAAATGAATAACTGTTACTAACATTATGCATTAGCCACATGCCCCACAGAAAGGTAGAAGGCCTCAGTATCTATCAGGACTGCCCTCACAGATCATTCATAAGGAAATTCCTTACTCGTCTCCCATAAACAAGGACATGCAAATTGTAACTTTATGTCTACACCCTAAATCTAGCTCCTAAAACTAAAATCAATTCTATTCCACACTAATAATGTTGATTACCAGTTTATATTCCCAGGTGCAGAACAGAGACAAGATCAATCATTCTTCCCCCTACCAAGGGACATCTACATAATTGATTTTTCCTTCACTCCCTTTTTCTCTTCAAATATTCATCCTGTTTTATATAAAATATAGATTTCCTGGGCCTCACAAGAGTGTAACCATTTGCTTCACACCCCATCCTTTTTGTTTCTGTGTGCCTTCTCCCCTTTAAATGCTGAGTTCCCAAGACTTGCTTTGTATGTGTGGGTGGAGGGGAAACAGTCACAGATACATCTGTGGCTTGTGTTTATCCTGGGCAAGTCCTCAAACTTTGGCTTAATAAAACTCCATTGACTGAGATCTTTGCCTCAGTCACTTATTTTGGGTTGTCAAAAGAGAACCTGTACTATAAGCATCAGTGTCTGTCTTGTTCTCCACTGTGTCCCTAGCACTTAGAGCTGTGCCTGGCACAAAGCTGACACTCAATAATTGTTGCATGAATGAAGGAGTTACCAATTACCATGACCCTTGAAAACTAAGGAAGTTTTCCAGACAGATAAAAGTGAGTATAGGGAGGGCATTCCAGGCAGAAGAAACAGCATGTGCAGAAATATACACAGCAAAGAGCTTGGCACATTTGAAGAAAAGGTTTAATGTGGCATGAGGGGTCCAGGGACCAAAACTGGTAAAGGTGAAAGTATGGAAGAGGGGTTCTCTGCCTCAAATCTCTGCAGAGCTCTCAAAACTCAAGCCTTAGGGACAGAGCTAAGAGCAATGCAGGGAGTCACAGAGAGTGAGATTTCAGTTTAATATGAAGAATCTTCTAACAGAGGTGTCCAACAGTGGAATGGGCTGCCTTGGAAGGCAATGAGCGAATTCTCTATGAAAGAAGCAAACAGATACCAAACTCTTGGTGCAACAAATTGCTATGGATAGATGCATTTTTTTCCTGACTAGATTTCAGAAAAATTGATCAAGTCTCCTTTTTAAAGGATATTGGATAATATATGGACAACTATCTCCAATAGTAATTCTGCAGAAGACACAAAAATTTTCCTGAAGTGCTTGTTTCTTATGTCAATCATAGACTAAAGCTGAGGCCAACAGGGGTGCTAAAGGCACTTCCATGAAAGAAGGTCTCTGCAAATCACTGAGGTCTTCACTCATTTATGTAGCAATTATTTATTCAGTATCTTTGTGTGCTGGGGATTTTGTTAAGCGTGGAAATACAGACATACATGAAAAAAGGCACCTGCACTCACAGTACAGGACAGAAATGCAGATAAGTATTTACACTTCAATAGCTATTAATACAATTCAAAATGCTATGGGGGGGAGGGAGACTAAAAATTCAATTTGCCTGGGGAAATCAGGAAAGGTCTCAGAGGGGAACTGACTCAGAGCTGACTTTTGCTCCATTCACAAGATAAAGTAGAATAAAGATAGTCCAGGCAGAAGGAAAACAGGTACAAGGATAGGGAGGTGTGACAATGCATGGCCAATTTGGGGAGCTGTGTGATTGGGAAATGGTAGATAGGAGCCAAAATGTGCATGGTCTCGAATCCAATGCTGAAATTTTTGGATTTTAATCTGTAAATGGAAGGAAGTCAATAATGGGTTTTAAGTGGGAAGGTGATGTGATCAGATCTGTCAATAGAAATGACCAGTGTAGTTTTCATGGCAGGTGTGAGGAAAATAGATTGGAGGAGCCCAGACTAGGAGCAGGAGACCTGTTAAGAGGCTGTCAGGAAAGTCCAAGTAAGGAATGACAATGGCCTGAGCTCTGGGGATAATGAGGATGGAAAGGAGGGTGGAGATGGTAGAGAGCTTTTTTGAAGTAGAACGGTCAGGATGTAGGGGAGGCCTATCTTAATCCACCTCCTCTTACATCTACGACATGAATATATGTGCACAGCACACTTTAAACAAAGATGGAGGCAGGAAAGGATCACTGGCCCAGACCCTTGGGATGAGACTGCTTATATAATTTAGCACTAAATTTAACTCTGAGCTTCCTGAAAGCCAACGCAAAAGGGGAAACATGATGACATACCTAGCGCTCATTATCTGTTAAAGGATACTAAAGGGAAAGGAAGACACTGGCCAGATTAAAGTGGGAGAAGTTAAGCCTAAAGGACACTGGGGGCAGATCATGTTTGTCCCTGATTCTGAGATCCCTGGGGAAGGGCTGTTTCTGGGATCAGTGGTTCCTCCTACTGCTCTTTGTTGGGGTAGGAGATTGTTGTGGCCTGACAGCACAATGGGTTGGGGAGCTCAGCATTGGCCCAGGAAGATATCTTTATAGACAGCCAGTCACAAGTGTTTAAACCTGGAAATCTGATTCCCTACCAGAGTGGGATGTGGCTCGACATCCCTTCTCACTCTTTGGAGTCTCCAGTAGCTCTGCATGAGAAGCTAGGCAGGAAGCTGAGGTTCAAAGGAAGAATGGATGTATTTACTCAAAGTGGCCCAGCAAGTTAGGGATAGAGCCAGGACAATGGCTCTGCCCTTTTGTTTGTGGGGCCCTATTAGTTCATGCATTCATTCAACCCAAAGGTATGGAGCACCACCCCTGGGCTGGGGGGTGTCAGGGCTCTACCCTCAGGAAGCTCACCTTCTGGTGGGAAAGACAGATCTTTGACAATCTCTTCTCACTAAGATGACTGAATGCGGTCATCACTCTCAGAAAGGAGAGATCCTGTCTTGTTGGGGGAGTGAGAGGGGGAAAAGCAGGCAGGGGAAAACTTCCAGGGGAAAGGCAAAGGATCCCTCTGGGCTGACTTTCAGCCTGGGGATGGTAGGGGGTGGACTGATGGACTGAGCAGAGACAGAGGGCAGCCGGCATTCTAGGCACCTGGAATTAGGAATTCTCTTTGAGGTTTGAGTGCTTTGACAGTCATTGTCTCATTTGATCTTCCCAACCATTGTGGGAAGAAATTAAAGATATTTTAAAATATTAAAATACCCAATATTAGAGCTGGGGAAACAGACTCTGAGGTGACATGCTCAAGACTACAAACTGAATTAAGAATGGCAAGTGTCCTAATTCCACCCATATGCTGAGTTCTGGGCACATAACAGGGAGCACCCGACCCTGAGCTTTCCGGTTCCCGCAGCCCACCTCCCCACCCTGACCCCGACGGCTCATCCTTCCCCACCTGAAGTTTACCTCGGCTCTACCCTCCAGCACTCTGGGCGTCGCGGGGAGTCAGGGGTTAAAACCCGTGGCCCGGGTGGCCCCTTCCCCCGCCCCAGCTCCCTCGCCTCCACTCGGCGCCGCGCCTGGAGCGTCCGTCCCCGAGACCGGCACGAAAGAGGAGGGGAAAAAGTGGGCCTGTTTCTCGGGTGGCCAATCCACCGAGCCCGCGGTGCCCCAGAGGAGGCGCCAGCGCTAGGCCAGCGCCAGGCCGGGGCTGCCTGCTTCCCGCGGCAAAGTACAAATGCGCCCGAGCGCGGCGCCTGGCGCCCCTGGCGTGCACAGCCGGCCCGCGCTCAGCCTCCCCCCGCGGCCGCCGCGCCGCCGCCGCCGCCGGTACCGCCGCCCCGCC